GACAGGGATCCAGGGAAAAGGGATGGGACAGGGATCCAGGGAAAAGGGATGGGATGGGAAAGGGATCCAGGGAAAAGGGATGGGATAGGGATCCAGGGAAAAGGGATGGGATAGGGATCCAGGGAAAAGGGATGGGAGACAGAGATGCAGGGAAAAGGGAGGGGATAGGGATCCAGGGAAAAGGGATGGGACAGGGATCCAGGAAAAAGGGAGGGATGGGACAGGGATCCAGGGAAAAGGGATGGGATAGGGATCCAGGGAAAAGGGGAGGGAGGGGGACTGGGATCCAGGGGAAATGGGATCCCCCACACCAGGACCCCACAGGCAGGGTCAGTCAGCACCCTCAGCACCCCTGGGTGCCCTCCCAGACCCTGCTCACTGTGGCACTTACAGAACTCCCCAAATTAATGCAGAATAAAGCACATAAAAAGTTCCCCCAGGAACACCCCAGCACCACCCAGAACCAGCTAATTACATTAATGATGCTAATTAGGGCACTGGGGCAGGGGGACCAGGGAGCAGGGCCAGAGAACATTTTGGGCAAGAATGGCTGGTTTGGGTGCAGGAGATGAGGGGTGCAGGTGTGAGGTGGTGTGGCCATCCCTGTCCCATCCCCATCCCTGCAGCTCCCAGAGTGGGAAGGGACCCCCCAGGATCAGTGACCCCAACTCTCCAGTGAATGCAGCCCAAACTTTGGCTCTGCCAGCACCTCCAACCAGCTGAGCTCGGCTCTGGCTCTGGGTGGGCCCCGATGGCTGCAGCCCCAGCTGAAAGCAATGAGCTCCCTCCCTATTTACAGGCAGCAGAGCCCCCTTCCCTGCCTGCTCCTGGAGGAGGACGAGGCTGGAGGAACTCTCAGAGGTGAGCTGGGAAGGAAAACGAATTCCCCACCCCCAAATTTCCTGAAATTCCCTACTTGTGCTTTGTTTTCTGGGGTGTTCCTCTCCATGGAGAGTGTCTTTTGGTCTTGTTTCTGCAATATTCTGGCTGGTTCTGGTGTCACTGTAGGTGTCTCATGTGTGTGATGCCAATGAGTGCCCTGGGAGGAGCAGGGTGAGGTGGGGGGGATGTGAGGGCAGCAGAATGTTCAGCCCCTGCTCTGCTCCCCCTTGGCAGAGGTGTTGGATCCACAGCTGAGTGTCACCCCAGCACTGTGTGTGAGCAGCAGGGATGGAACCAGGACCCCCTGCCCTTCCTGACCCCCCGAGGGTGAAGGCAGCAGATGGATGTGCCTGGCAGAGCCTCCTCTGCCTCCGGCCCCACAGGCAGAAGAAGAAGAAGGTGGCTTATTCTGCCTACATGCACAAGCTCCTGAACCAGGTATTCTTGGGTGGGCTGGGCTGCCATCTCCTGCTTCCCCAGCTCAGCTTGGCCACCCCTGGATCCAAGCCTGGATGCTGTGTTGGGCTCAGCTGGGGAGTCTGAGACTCTTCTCTGGCTGCCCAGGGTGGAGTCCCCACCCCTGGAGGTGTTTAAAAGACACGTGGACGTGGCACTTGGGGATGTGGGTTAGTGGTGACCTTGACAAGGCTGGGGGACTTGTTTCATTTGCTAATCTTGGAGGGCCTTTCCAACCTGAATCATTCCACGATTCCAGACTGAAGCTGTGGTGGTTGGGGCTGGGCTGTGCCAGCGGCTCCTCGAGCCGTGCTGATGGCTGTTGGTCTCTCTCCCCGCAGACGTGGCCCTCTGGAGATTCCTGCTGGGTGGTGTCCGCGCTGGCTGGGCTGGGCAGCCCGTGGCTCCTCGGGGAGGTGGCGCTGGAGGCTGCCAGGCTGTCCCACAGCAGCCGCAGGAGCCGCCCCGGCCACCGCGAGGTCCTGCTGGCCATGAAGGTGGTGCTGCTGCACGAGCTCTGCAAGGCTCCTCCAGGATCCTGAGCTGGGACGGTCATGGGAGTGTTTTAATGTGGTTTTGGTAAATAAAGTGTTGTTTGACGTTGTTTCACAGTCTCCTTGCTGGGGCTGAGAGCAGCAGGCGGGCTCAGGCCCGGGGTGGGGTTCCTGATGCCAGGGAAGTGCCCCCAGCTCCTGGCAGCACTGGGACACCCCCTCTGGAGCAGCTTTCCCAGCTGCTGAGCTCCTGTCCCACAGGCACGGGGGGGGGAGGCTGGAAAAGGGGATGGATCCTTCCAGAGGGACCTGGCCCTTGTCACCTCCTGCTGCTGGTGTCACCTGCAATGTCCCTTCGGTGGGAGAGGGGGACAGGTCTGCCCACCCCAGAGCCACCCCTGCTGGATGTGCAGGGGCAGAGATGGCAGTGTCAGGGGTACAGGGGGTGTCTCTGGGGTGGAGCAGCTCGTGGCTGTGATGAGGTGGCTCTGTCCCTGTCCCCAGCCTGCTCCTGTTTGTTCTCTTCACCCTCCTGGGTGTATCCAGACCTGTGCAGTGCCCTGGACTGTCACCTACCCATGTCCTTGGCCTGTTTCCATGGCAAATATCAGGGTAACTGTTGTCCTCAAGGAGCAAGTGCTGCCCAAGGATTGAGGGTTCAGGGGAAGGTTGAGTTGTGGTGCCTCAGCTGCTGTCCTGGCACATTGTCACCTCAGTGCTGAGGGGCTTCAGCTCTCCCCAGCCCCCCTGCCAGCAGCCCTGGGTTGATTAGGGTTCGTTTGGCTAAAATCCACGGATTTAGGGTCAAGTCCTACAGCAAAGTCCTCGACTTTGCAGAAAGAAGGGCAGCAGCTGACTTTGAGGAAAATAGCCAGGCACCCCCAGCATTCCTGGGTGGAATTCTGTCCAACCTGCCCCAAAAGCTCAGCAGAGGAGGAGGAAGGGAAGGGGAGCACTCCACACTCTGTGCTACCATCTGGCTTGGAGCTTCATCACCCTGTCAGGGGGCCTCTCTTGTGTTACAGCACAGAAAAGCTGAGAAGAACATTCCCTCCCCGCTTCTTGTCCCTGCAGATGGTCCAGACCACTTGCCCTCCTTCTTCTCTCCTGCTTTATTTATGTCTTTTTGAGCCCCAGCTGCTGCTGGGAGGGTGACAGGTGGAGCAGCTCTTCTGCAGTGAGGCTTGGGGGGCTCTTTAACCCCCTCCAGGAGTTGTGCAGAGGATCCTTCCTGCCCAGAACTGAGCCTGGAGCAATCAATCCCCAGCCCCGAGGGGGAGATCACAGGGGGAGGTTTCTGGGAAGGAGAGAAGCTGTTATCACCTGAAAACCTTTAGCTCACCTGGGCTCTGGGCAGACAAAATGCTGGCTGGCACAGGTTGCCCAGAGGAGCTGTGGCTGCCCCTGGATCCCTGGAAGTGTCCCAGGCCAGGTTGGAGCAACCTGGGACAGTAGAAGGTGTCCTTGGTGGCACTGGATGGGCTTTAAGGCCTCTTCGAAGCTGATCCATCCCCTGATTCTATAAGGATGTTCTCTGATGTCTTAACTAATCACCTGCCTGATTTCCCTTTAAAA